TTTTTTAATTTAAATACTAGGCCCGACCCTTTGATATTTCAAATCGGGTATTTCGGATATTTTTAAGTCGGATATTATCGGATATCGGGTCGGGTTTCAGATATTTCGGTTATATTTAAAAAAAAATATAATTGGATAATTAAAGTCTTTAAATGCTACTTTGACAAAAATTGTACACACTAATTCACTACACATTCAATTTACACAAATAATTTAATAAAAATTGCACAAATAATTATACAAATAATTGAACACGAGTATTAATTTAAATATTCAAAGTACACACTAACATATATTTCGGATATTCGGGCGGGTCGGGTTGGGATTTCACAAACCCTACCCTCCACCCGGTCTAGGCCCAATACTAATCGGATTTTCGGTTTCGGGTTTTTCGGATCGGATATCCACTTCGGTTCGGATAATATCCGAAAAAAATATCGGGTTTTTCGGGTCGGATCGGGTTTTGCTCATCCCTAATTGTGGCATTAATTAAATATATTATACATTGATACGACTTCTTAAGATACACATATCATCAATCACATCGTTGGGATCTCATTTGGAAGTCGATATGAAATATAGGGGTGTTTGGAGGTGATTCTGCTTCTGCTTCTTTTTTAAAAGTAGAAGCAGAATCAGTTTTCAGAAGCTGGTATCTCCCAGCTTCTAAAAAAAACTGATTCTGAGAGTAAATTAGAGCTCCAGAAGTGCTTCTGGAATTTCACCCAACACTTCAGCTTCTGCTTCTGCTCCCTGAAGGAGCAGAATAAGTTTTGAGAATCAGATCCAAACACCCCCATAAGCGCATTAGGATGTTTGTTTTCAGTTCTGATATTTAAACAGACCAGACCAAACTTAAACAGATGAGACCAGACTATACTTCCATAGTTATAAAATTCACAGAGACCAGACGTTTACCAGACCAGACCAGACCAGCAAATTTCAGTCCAAAAGAAAACATCCTTAGTCATTTGATGATTAGGCTATTAGAATTTTAAAGTTTTTTCCATAATATATGTGAGCAAATTAATAAACGTAAATCATAGCGTCCCAAAATTTTCCATATATTTATATAAAATATTAGTCTCATAAAGCTTGACTTCTATAGCTTGCAGTATGTACAAAAGGAGAAATTGGTAAGACGAATTTAGTTATTATATTGGACTTCACCTTAAGAATGAAACATATAATGGGTAATTCTAAATACAACCCGTATTTTACTAAAGACAACCCAACCTCTATTCAATTTACCAACTTGCCCTTTTAATTTGAAACTCGTATGTTTTGATCGAGAAGAAAAGTTTGTTCTTGTTTCCTGTATGTCTGCATAGTTTTATGAGTGCAACGGCACATGTGTCAAGTATATACGAACTACGAAGTATGATTCACCACAAATTAATGGAAGAATAGTAGAGTAATATTTCAATACAAAGAGCCATCACTTGTAAAAGGGGCATCGTGGATTCCAGAATCTCAATTAGAGATTTATAATTATTACTCATTATTTTTATTACTAATTCAATTAATTCTTTGCTTGTTGGAAATTTTATATCATTGTACATATATGAATACGTCTTCGAGCAGAAAGATGGAGACGAGACTGATATAGTGGAGCCTTGGAGATGATTGATAATGGAGAGCCGTCAAGCCGACATGTCACCATGGAGGGGTTGCCTCTTCTATAACGATGTCGGCGATACTGATAACTGATATCGTACTCGATGATGCAGAGCCACCCGGATATAGAAGACGCTAAATTGGTGTCAAATCCCAACTCTATCACACAATACAAGGATAGAATAGGAACTTACCCAACCGTGTCTTTTATTTGGGAATTGGGAGTGTGAATAATAGTATTGAGGCTGTATTTAAAATTACCCATATACGAAGTATAATTTATTAAATTGAGTCTTGGACCATGAATATTCAAATGGATTAGCAAAATGTTGGGCCAAACTTCGTAGGCTGATCTATCACTTGTTTAATTCAACCTTAGCTCTTATACATAGTACGGAGTATATGATATCCACACATCATTGGGCCTTAGCACATAATCAATAACAGTCCACGATATAATATCTATAGCATCCTTCAATTTGTTATTCACACCCACCGATTAATTATTAATAAAAATACACCATTAAAAATAATTTAACCCTTCATAAGTTCATATGAACACACTCTACTGTATAGCATCATAAATTTATAATGATTCAACACACTTTGTTATAATCACTACATTTTATATCAATATTAATCATTTAAGTCTTAAACCATATTTTTTGTTATAAGTCTCCAACCATATATTAAGTGTGTTATCCATCTAAAGTATACATAATTATAATGTATAAAATATGGAAATTTTATATTAATCCTAATCAAAAGTAATTGTTCTATATGATTAAATATATTATCACACTCTTAATATATTAATTAATCACTCCTTCTATCAACTAATATAACAATGAAAAGTATACAAAAATCATTGTTAAAAAAGATCACACATGCAAGTATTTAAATATATGTTGAGTGTATTGAAATGATGTACTTGATTATTTAATGTGCATATTAGATATTTTAAATAACATGATTTGTAATATTTAATTTAGTGATTGTAAATAGAATTACCAATAAACAAACTGTGTAGAATCATTAAATTTATGATGCTATTTTAGTGTATTAATATGAAGAGAAGTTATTTTTTAATGATGTATCTTTATTGATTAGTAATTAATCGTTGGCTGTGAGTAGCAAAATGGGAGCTATGAATATAATTACCCAGGACTAGTGAGTAAAGGTTCCGATCCTAGGCCTCCATTTTTTAGATGGGGACTGGACCGAGACCAACAATTTGTTTGTGTTTGTTTTTTGCTATTAAAACCATTGCAAAACATTTTATAAGGGTTGAGAGTCCATTTAAAAGCTTAAAAAAGGTGTAGATGGGGTGGAGAGGGAAATAGAAGGTTTAAAAGTATGCTAAAAAAATCAAAAGCCCAAGACCGGTTGGGAACCGAAACCTATTGAGAATCAGAAATAAAGGTCTAGCTCCCAAATCTCCATATATATTTTTTTTTTCAAACACCGGTCCATCTGGGACCAAGCCCGGCCCAGAGTGAGGCCAAGGGCCCAAGACCATGCCTAGTTACAAGTTTATAACTTGCCCGCAAAAATTGAAGATATAAGGCTATCTTTGTATTCAATATAGAAAAATAATACTATTTTTGTGGGTTAAGCGTTATGTTAATGATTGACAAAATTGTACTATCCTCCGTATCACATTAGTTGCAACGTTGGAATATATATGTTATTCATGTACCTTACTTTGACTACATTTTATTTATTAATGTATATGAATTATTATTTTTTGAAAAATATTGTTAAATTCATCTCATTACTAAATTTTATAATTAGATTTTTATTTTATTTTTACTATTACGAAATTAAATATAATAACGGTCAAAGTTGTGCGTTGGCAAACGTAAAAAGGGAATGTTGCAACTAAAAAAGAACGGAGGAAGTATAAAATTGACAAAGCCTAATAATTGACAAAAAATGGGTTATTTTTTTTATGAATCTCTAACACATGACGTGTTTGGTAATCTACTATAGAGCATCAAATAATTTGTAGTCTATATCATAGACAAGGAAAATATCATTAACTTCTCTTTAGTTTTAATCTATTAAAACTCACACTCCTACATTACCAAAAACATGTGCTTTCCCCTTATTTTAAAATTTTAACGGATATTAGGGCTGGGCACGGGCCGGGTCGGGTAATGCAAAATAAAATGGAACCGCCGGTTCCATTGTACGGTTCGGTCCGTTTCGGGTATTACAATTTTCAAAATAGGAACCAGAAATTACCCGGTCCGAGTTTTACGGTTTCTATTCTCATGTCTTGAAATTAGTAAAAACTAACGAAGTTCCAAAAATCAATAATCAATAATATAGGACATTAGCAAGTTTCAAAGTAACAACATAATGGTGCACATATAACACAAGCAAAAAGTTTAATACTCCATAATTTCTTGTATATAAGTTTCAAACAATTAAAGAAATTCCAAAAATATGCAACATAGCCAAAATACATATTTTCTAACATTTGTATTTAAACATGTTGTCTATCATCACATATTAAAATGATTGCTTTTTTTTATATTAAATTTTCAGTATTAGCCAAAGTTGACACATACATGGTGGGTGGTAAACACAATTTCTATATTTTAATAACAATATAAAAAATATATAACAAAATCATCTTTAACAAATAATTAAATTCCATAGACAGGAACAATTCAATAACAATAAAAAGTAGTAAGATATTTATGAAACATTTAATCAATAATATAAAAACAAAAGGATGTTGCTGCAACTCGATTTAATATCCTACTTCTAGCAAAGGAAACAAAACTATTTCAAAACCGATTATCACAAAACTATTAATAAATTAATATACAATATATAACGGGCATTGTTTGGAGGACGACTAAACTTTAATTGTCTCTTAAACACTTGGGAAAAAGTGGCATTGTTTGATATTGGTATGGCATGGTACCGTCCCGTTTCAAAATGAAACCGTACCGAACGGGTTTAGGTCTAAGACCGAACCGAACCAAACCGTTTGAATAGTAACGGTACGGGTACGGGTTCGGCCAAATATTGGACTGGACCGGACCACGCCCACCCCTAATTTCAACATTTTCAAAACCCACCTTACATATAAAATCATACATACAAAACCCTTTATTTTCACTTTAGAGACTCTTTATTCTTCCATGAAATTAAATCTAATATGTATTATAATGATAACTTTTTAATTAGCTTTTGACAAAATATCAACACAGTACACACATACAAAAGTGCACCTTCCATCATATATGCACAATCAATTTTCGGACAAAAAGAGAGTGTGCCTGAAGTAGTTCAACCAAACATTCAAATAAATTTATTGAGTTTCAGATATCCTTTAATTTGCCACAAAACATTCTTTTTTTACCAACTTCATTTCTCTTTTCTTCCTAGTTAGTATGTTTTGTGTTCCAAACGAGTCCGCAAACTAAATGGGAAAAAGCTTCAAATTACATAATGAACTGTTTGTATAATATACCACAAGCTGACCGGGGCAAGTGAGCTCCTACACTGTGAAAACCCCAAACCTAAGTTGAATTTCATTTCACTTTTCCTAATTCCGTATGTCACAACTCTTAAACTTGTCAGAATTTGAAGCAGAATTAATAGCATGAACAAGCTTTACTCCGATGATAAACTAGTGACCTAGGTTACTCTTCACAACTAAAGGAATGTTGCATACAATTAATTAACGAATAAAACCAAAACAAATACTCTAATTCTTCCACAGGTTAATTAGTTCACCTCAGTTTTATGCTGTGGATTTTAGTTACACTCGCGAAGGATTGGGTGGATAGGCATTCATCCCCCACTATGATGTGTTTGATCTACCATAGGGGGAAGGAGAAGAGCAAGCCTCGTTTTGTATCTAGCAATGCGTCTTAGCCTTTCATCTCTTAATCTGCAGATTTCTCGGTCACATCAACATACATCACATTACTAAGATGAAAAGAAAATCAGCCATCAAAGAAGTGCTTGTTTCATTATATTAGAAAAGGGTAACCTCAGCCAAGAACCTCATAAATAAAACCAGCAAAAAATAAGACATAGAGCACATAGTCAACAGTAAATTAGTAATAAACATGCAGGTCAATTCTATCCCAGCTGAAACTACTGTTAACTACCCCAAGAGAGGAACATGCCAACAAAATTAGCTTCCACGTGGATAATGGATTGGGGGAAAGGGAACATGCCAAGGCACAGGCGGTAGAAGAAAAAGAAGCTTCACGCTGACCAAAGAAATATCAAGTGTCAACAAATATCCTGGATTCCTGGTCTTACAAGTTACAATCCTTTTTTATCATGATAAAAAGGGCAATTAGTGTCACATTCAACAATTCTGATTCTACTACCATATATCACTCTGATTCCACCAAAAGGACAAGATAATTAAGATGAAGTGTACAAGAAACACTTCAAGTATTTGATCAAAAATATTTCGATTCTCCTCAGTTGGTTCTTTCAACATCCTTATGAATGGGCCAGTGAGGGATGAAGAGGAATTTGTAATCATATACTCTAATCATAAAGAAGTCAACAAGTGTTAAACTTACTTTGACCTAATTTTCTTAGCACGGGTGACATGCATAAGCAACAGCTTTTCTTTAGTTAAATGTTCAACCGATACATCATCCTGAAATAATAAGAAGCCAGCATTACTACTCCATTTAATATGCGATACCACAGGATTATCAGGATCATGAAATCATCACGTTTATAATTTATCAGAAATTTATATGACCGTGAAATTGTCCATACATGTTAAGTGTACACCACAGGTTATGGGATTCACATGGGCTCTTGTTCTTAGTAGAGCATTCATGGGTGAATATGTATTTTCATGATAATTGACATTTTGACAGTATTTATGACACTTGATAGAGCAATAGGCAACATTTATGACATCAATTAGCTGGTTTGTTAGATTTTTATATGAAACATGTGGTTTCATAACTCATAAATCAAGAACTGACCTCTTCATCCGGTCCCTTATCTACTTCCTTGTTCTCAGGTGACTCGGCATCTTGTGGAGCCACAGGCAATGGCTTTGGGAGAGATTTTACAACATCCCTATATTGCAGCTGCCATATGGAAATAAAATACATAAATTGGTGGGGGACACTGGCTACATCTGGGGTTGGGTGTGAATCTGGCAAACACTTGGAGTCTGTTCGGATGGAGTGTTTTGTAGGGGCTGTGAGGGGAATGCTTTAGAGGTCTTAGTGGCATGTACTTGATAATTTACAAAATTGAAAGGTTCACATAATATGTGATCATGTATAATTTCAACCACATTTTATTCATATTTAGAAACATTCTATTCATCACAGCCTTCCACTCCAAAACCCTCCATCCAAACAGACTCTAAAGCAGTACAGTTCTCCTCAATTGATATGTCAGAAAAGGAGCAACTTGAAATTGTCTGGTAACTGGGCACGGAAAAAAATCAGCTGTTCAGACCTGAGTATCTTCAAGAAAACCATTCCTCAACCATGACCGGCAAAGAGTATAGAGGGATGCAGTATCAGAAACTTTGACCTGCAATGTTAAACAAACTTGATTATCATTAAAAACATAACTATAGTCATTCAAGCTAGACAAATCAAATGAAACCATATCTATATACAGCATCATGAGAGGACACCTAGTAAAAAAAGATGCATAATAAAAGATAATATAAAAAAAATTGTGAACATTTAAGTCAATATAACAACTAACACAGCACACAATCATTCATCTCTTCAATAGTCAATACTAGTGTATACTTGATTTGCTAGGAACTATTCAAATTGATACAAACTGCCCCGCATATGAATCGTGCAACCTTTTTATCTGTTTTCAAGTAGAACATTCATATCTGCCTCCAAATAAAGGCAAAAGAACAGGAATAGGATCCAGAGCCAATGCATTCCAACATGTTCAACTACTCCAGAAATGATATATGCCAAATAATTGGCACACCATTTTCTCGTATTGTCATGTGTCCATGATAGCCGACCCCTAAATCTTTTGGGATTAAGGCTTGGATGTTGTTGTTGATGTTTCCATGATAGCAGAAAAAAAGCATTCAACTTTGTGTAATAAACCTAATAAAGGCTGATGCACACTTAAATACAGTGACAGCTCTAACTCATCTCAGAGACGGCACAGGAAACTAGTTTATGAGTTTGTTTTTTCCTTTTAAATCAGAACAGTTTATGTACAACAGTACAATCCATCTAGTGTGGAATATGAAAAATAAAAAGGTAATATATGTGTCTTAACTCTATGAAGTGTGTAGTGCCAACTCATGTTGTTTGTTCTTACAAATCTTCAAATAAGATAAACCGCACTTGTCATAGCATTGTACAAAGTAACTTAGTTTATCAGATTGATAAAAACATGAAATAAAACTTATAAATCTATACACGCAGCTACAAAAAAGTACTTTGCAAGTGTTTAACTTAAACAAGGAAATTAATTTGAGCCAACCAAACAAGGGGTGCTCCATAAAGAAACGTTTGCTTACTTTCCTTTCTCTAACAACTGAAAACGAATCACTTTTACTTCTGTCCCTACATTAGAAGAGCATATTAAATCATTGAGAGTTTCCATATGAAAATATATAAACACAGATGAGAGATCTAAAAAATTTGATGAAAAACAAGGTAATTACCTTCCATCTTTGGAGCCACTGAAATCAGCAAAAGAAGGTAGTGGCTAGAAAACAAAATGAAAATGGAGTAAATTGATCAGCAGTTAGCTTAATGAGTTGGGAAAAGCTATAAAAACGTGGAATAACCAATTCATTGTTACCAAGGAAAGACACGGCAGATAGAGCAACATAGGACTCACACAGCATTATTTCTGCACATTATTTCTGCTGTCTGTTTCATGTTCTCTGAAAACTCAAAACTAAATTCTGGAAACAAAAAAAGTTGTTTCCATTTTTTCTTGACAGTTTTCAAAATTAACATGGTTATTTATAGTTCATTATAGAATCCGTAATGTATACCTTTTAAATATATAAAAGGCATTTTCCTTGGCCCTAAGGTTTACATTTCCCAAATTATAAGTGCCCCTTTACTGCAGGAACTATATATGTATCATAACATAATTATACGGGGAACATGTACAATGGTGGACTGGTGGTTTATAAAAACAACCTAAATGGATTTGGCAATTACCAAATAGAAATAACAACATTTTCTTTCCTGGAAAACTATTAGTGATTAGTTTAAAGAGTTAAATAGCCTTACTCTCTGCTCTCGGTTCCAAAGTCCATTTACTTTCTGACTCACTATATGAACCTCGAACAGTTGCAAGAATAAAACTCTTACACATATCTCGTCAGGAAGAAAAAGTCTATATACAGAGAGAGAGATCTAGGACCAAAATATAACATATTTCCCCAGATAGGACTAATATTGTTTTCCCCCAAAAAGGACTAATTCAATACTAGAAGAAGAAACTATAAATGTATTTATTTATTCTTTTATTAGGACTAAATAAGTCCTAATGCTTTAATAAAACGCCTGGTCTATATTTTACTCATATAGTCCTGTTATGGGCAATTTCTTATATCTTTCTATGTGTGTGTATTCAGACACCAGAACAATGTAGAAACTCACTTACTTCAGCAAGAACATCATAAACACGAAAGAGAACACTCAACATACAGCGCAAAACCTAATATAGCATTAGTGAGAGGAAAAGAATACCTTCGGATGGGCAGAAGCGACTGGAACGCCATTCACGACAACGGGTATAAGAGGTGTACCGTTAGCAGTAGAATTAGGAAGAGTGACAGGGGAAACATGCGCGTGAGTCAAATTAGTAGGCTCCGGAAATCCCAGTCCCGGCCGCAAACCCGGATCTGTATGAGCAGAAACCAGGAAAGGAGGTAGAATTGAGCCAGGAGCGTACCCAACCGGAGGTCCCCGGGTCAAATAATTGCTTTGATTAGGAGGCGGATATGGTATGGGGGGTCTAGGAATAACTCCTCGTCCTGAAGGAGCGATAGGGTACAGAGTGCTCTGGTTCGGCGGCGGAGCTAATTGCGAGTAGATGGGGTTTGGATTTGAAGCGAATCGCTGGGATTGTGGAGGGAGAGGGTGTGACTGTAGAGTGAGAGGTGGGCGTGAGTTGGTATATAGAGGTCTAGTCGTAGTCGTCGTCGTCGTCGTCGTGATGGCGCTGGCATCAGCTGCGGCGGCGGACGAGACGTTAGGTGGTGCCGGAGGGGCAGAGAGAGCCATAGGTGACGATGGCGCGGAAACTTTTGTTTTGGGGGGTGATTTCTAAAGTGGACTCCTACTTCAAAACTTGACGTTTGCAATTCTATCATTCTATGCTAGCTGTTAGCGTGTTACTCCATCCGTCCCTCTTTGTCAGGTTAATACCGTATTTAGTAATATTTGTGTGGTTATAATTCTTTCTTATTTTATCAACACTTTATATATTTAATACCAATCATACAATTTTATTTTTTCTTAAAAGTTGTGTCACACCCCTTTGTCCCAAACATAGTTGGACGGAGGTAATACTTATTACCGAGTATTATTGTTATACGGAGTAGTTATTATAACTAAAATTATAATTAAAAATATGGTAGATTCTATGGTACCCATAAGGTACCATACCTTTGCCTACATGGACCAATCAGAATGATGCAGTTTAATTATTTAAATCTAAATTAAAAGGGATATAATGATTTGGACCAATCAAATGCATGGAAGGTACGGTACCCCATATTTTTAATGGGTACCGGAGTTGTCACCTAAAAATATATCTTCTCTGTTTTGATTTGACTTTCAACGTTGACTTCTATAAATATTTAATTCAAAATCAATATACGGAGTATAATTTAAGTTCAACTAGTTATTACAGATCTCCCTAACACAGGATGTAATTTTATATTTTCTCGTCCCATAAAACTTGAGTAAGATTAAATTTGCACGTAGATAAATAAAGTAATAATTGCATACTTGATATTTGTGTTGATGGGAGAAATAATTTTGAGAAATTTTATTTATATACGCTCTTATACACTTGTTTGTGGCAGATCATTTTTTTCTGTGAACCGGCGTGTTTTGTCTGTCACAGACAAAAAAAAATCCACAGACAAAACACGCAAGTTTTGTCTATGGATCCCGTTCACAGACAAAAAAAATATGGCTTGCCATAGAAAAGTATATAAGAACGTGTATAAGAAGTGTACACAGAAATTTTTCAATAATTTTAGTCACATATTTAATACTTTAATGCAAATGGGAAAAAAATTGGGAAGGCTATAAAAGAAAATTTGGTCAAGTTTTATGAGACGAAGTAGTCATTTTTAATTCTGAGAGTACAACTTTATTTAAATTCAATAGCTATTTAATTAATATAGTTCTGCTTTGTATGGTAAATTAATAAAACAAATAATTCAATATTTATTTAAATTTAGTGTAGAATTGTTAGGTCTGGTCTCTTTTATTATTACATATCATAAATTCTAATCCGGATAAAATTGTAACTCTTGATACTGCTACATAAAACAATCCATAGATAAATATGGATGGCGTAAAGTGTGTTTCTGTGTTTCAACAAGTCGAGTTACATACATCTTATAGTAGATTCTACTTCGTATAATAGATGAAAGGAGTTTGAGGAAAAAGCCATTTGTACACTTTTTTGTACACATTTGTTGTACCCCTCCCAATTGCATGTCACAAGCAACTCGTTCTAAAGCTCCTGTATACACAGACAACTAGATAGTGTGTACAACAAAAGTGTACAAGTAGCATGATTCGGCTAACGATGATTATTATAAGCCATCAACTTTAGATTGATGTGATTTTTCATGTTATGAAGCTCCTATATATTGTTTCTATTTTATGAAGTTCCAGTTATACCCCTTTTATTATGACATCACAGCCTATTATGACATCACAGCCGCTACACCATGATTAGAACTTAGTCAAATTACCTGTTTTTAACTCATTCTTAAATCCCATACGCTATTCAATTTGTGGGAAGGTAAAGACACAAAAGCTTGCTTATTCTAACTACATATGTGCCATATTAATTTTGGGCACCACTTCTAGCTCATTTATCTGATTTGGATTGTATTTGTGATTTACTGATATTGAATACTCCTCAGTATTTTAAAGTTTGCTACACTTTTCTTTTTGGGATGTATTTAAAAGTTTGCTACACTTTCTCTTTTTGATAAGTTTTTCCTTTAAAAATACTCAAGTACCTTTACTTTTTCTACTTTTTATCTTCTCTTTGCTACTTTTTCACATTCTCTCCTATTTTTTCTACACTATTCATTACCCCTACTATATTCTCCTAAAACATTGTGCCAAAAGCTATGATAGAGAACATATAAATACGGAGGGAGTATGATATACTTCCTCCGTCCCATTTTAGTGAGCCAAAATTGACTTTTCAAGTTAATGATGTTCAACTTTGACCGATTAAATATTTATATATAAAAGTATTGATAATATGAAAATGATCTTTGTTAAAGCTACTATCATAAAAGCACACAATTATTAAATTTGACATAAATATATTAATTAAAATAATTGGTCAATAGAACTTTTAAAATCATTCTAAGATGTACATATTTTTGTTGCTGTCACTAACGAAAAAATCTGCGAGGGGAGGATCAACTTATGCTAAGTCAAACTCGTAAATCATTTTTTAAAAATGATTTAGGAACTAGGATGGAGGAATATATTATTGCTATTTCTTAATTGGAGTCGTGTATATTTAAACAATAATTAAAGTGATATGCTAAGAGTTTTTTATTGGGTTGCTTTTGAAAGTCACTACAAAAAAATTCGGCTGTAGTCACGGATTTAGTCACGGACCACAGTGTAAAAAATCCGTGACTAACTCATTTAGTCACGGATTCTGTCCGTGACTAATTCCGTGACTGTTTGGGCGTGACTAAATTTAGTCACGTCAAATTATCCGTGACTAAATGTAGTCACGGATTAGTCACGGACCAGATCCGTGACTAATCTGTCACCGGAATAGCTGCTCCGACACTTTAGTCACGGCTAGGATCCGTGACTACATTTTTTAATTTTTTTTTTATATTAGTCACGGACACGTCCGTGACTAAGTATTTTTTTTTAAAAAAAAATCGCCCATATTAGTCACGGAAATATCCGTGACTAAGTTTTTAAATTTTTGAAATTTTCAAAAACCCGCGTTTCCTTTTTTCAATGTTTTGAAATTTCGTATTAGTCACGGTCATGAATCCGTGACTAATTTTTTTTTTAAATTTAACACATAATTCCGGACTAAAAAATTAGTCACGGCTCAGATCCGTGACTAAATGTTTTGTTTTTAAAAAAAAATTCTATTTTTTAAAAACCAAAATTAAAACTTATTTTAATTTTTGGCTGAAGTGACTGGATCATTACGTAATTTTTTCGTTAGTCAAGTACAACTTACGAAAAAGTATTAGTTTTTTTTAATAGGTATGATTTTAAAATTCAAATATTTTGATATAAAAATAAACAAATTTGAAGTTTAATTTATTTGTTGTTACTTTAAACCTATTTTTTAATTAACCAAAAGACTTACTCCGTAAGTAACACATTTTAATTATGATATGTTCATTTTAGTACTTGAATCTATATAAGAAAAAATTTAGACCTGAAAATCTATAGTATTTGAAGTTTTAATTTGTTTTTTTTACTTTTTATATTCAATATTGATGTCATATGAAAGATCATAAAAGGTTATGAAATTTATATTTTTTTATAAAAATTAAATAAAAACTAAAACAGTTATAGGACTTTAAACAATTTGGACTTTTAATTTTGGATGGATCCCCATGCCCATCTCTTCCTTCACCCTACACGTATATAAGCACACTTTCATCTTGGCCCACATATTAGTACAATACGTTGAGTATTCCACTAATACTCCGTATTTGTGGAAGGATAATTCTATTTACAGCCCCTCTTTTACTAATCACACACATAATTTCATAATTCCTATCCTGCCCTTGTTGCTAAACACACACTCCGGTCCATCTTTTCAATTGAGAGAAGAAGACTTCTTTTTTTGAAAACAAATTTTCATCAATGCACTTCGAAGGGAACAATTGATAGAACAAGTGCCTAAATACGAAATGCTCAAATGCTGATAGTCTGATACACACTAAGACTTACACGAGTTAGAAGAAAGGAAGAAAAAAGAACAATTCAGAAGGGAACTGATGTATCGAGCAAGTGCCTTATTGCAGCAATAACATCACCTTTATGCTCTCAATTGACATTGTGTGCTTTGAGAAAAAGGCTTTTTCAATTATTTGTGTTTGGCTGAATTGGCTCGGCCAGAATAGTCACCACATGAAGCTGTGAGATATATAAATTGAAAATAAGTACTTCGTATTAAACTATATGCGATCCAAACGTTCTCTGTTTTATTTTCTTGTACCATATCCCTACATAATGTTTTCCGGAGTTGCCGGAAGTGAAGAATCCTAGTTCAAAGAGCTCGCCGGCGGAGACTAAAGTTCAAGAATGCATCGTCTATGACAGAAAAATCCATAGCAAACTACGAGAATAACTTATCAATGCCCATCTGAGTCATCTGATGAAGAAAAATAATTTTATGGTTTGTTGCGAGAGAGTGTGCGACCAGTGAGCGCTGTAAGCCTGGAATAATACGAAGGGTAATTTGGAAATCTAGGTTTATTTTGTGGCTGTGATTAGTAAATTGGGGGCTGCGAATAGAATTACCCTTTGTGGAACCGTATCCTTAGAAGCTAGCAAGAATCAATCCAATTGATTTTCATTTTTTTAAGGGATAAGGGTCAGATAGGGCCTCGAACTTACAAAAAAATGTCAAATAAGGCCATATATAGGATGCTCTGTACGGACGACGCCATTTGGAGGGGTTCTCGGTGAAATTTTTCGATGAAATTTTTTGAGCATCTTATTCATTAAGTCTAGTTTACTCATATCAAATTTGAACTAAAAATTCAATCAGGAAGGCATTCAAATGAATTCTTGTTAATAACAACACAGTTATCTTCAAGAATTTATTTTAATGCCTTCCCGATTTAACTTTTAGTTCAAATTTGGTATTACTAAACTAGACTTAATAAATAAGATGCTCAAAAAATTTCATCAAAAATTTCCATCGGGAACCGCCCCAAATGGCGTCGTTCGGACAAAGCATCTTATATAAGGCTTTATTTGACATTTTTTTTTGTAAGTTCGAGGTCCTATTTGACTCTTATCCCTTTTTTTAATATTATATTAATGTAGATCGATTGTGATGGTTTTGGGCGGGGAATAGTATTCATTTTT